GGAAGGGAAGGGAAGGGAAGGGAAGGGAAGGGAAGGGAAGGGAAGGGAAGGGAAAAGGACGCAGATCCTGCAAGAAAAAAAAGAACAGCAGTCATAGAAATGCCTTGTGCTAAACAGAAATCTTCTGTGTAACACACAGGACCAGTAAGCATCATTCAATAGCAAGCTGATTTCAAGCTCATTTCAGAAACATACACAGATGTCTTTGAACCTTACCTTTCAGTCTATGGTTTTCTTCCTGCATAAGTGATTGGCTGACTACTGACATTCTTGGTGTTCGACAGAACAAGCTGTCTCCTTCCAGCTTGACTGATAACCAGACTGACACCCATTACTCCCCTCTTTCTGTTTCCATTTCCAATAGTCCCCCAAATCGTAACTTTTTCTTTCTTTTAATATTCTGAAATGTATTGCTTTCCCAAACCACAGTATAAAATGCAGCAGGGAAATAATTATCTGCTTCTGTAACATGCAAGTTTTAAAATTATATGCCCAGCATTACCAACACAGAGAGTTAAGACTCAGATCCCCACAGCAACAACATGCTAACCATCCTCTTCCCCCAGACTTATGGAGCTGCGGGATGTCTGCCAGGGAAAAACAGAGAAATGTAAAAAGGACTGCAAGAACATGAATACTAAAATAAATATCACAAACCTGGCTGTTGGAATCACAGACTGAGAAAAAGCTATTAAATCAGCTAAGCCATCTCCTTACTGAAGGCAGGAATGTTCTTTGTACATTATTTTCCTGCAGTTTTCTCCAGCGTGTGTCCAAAGTCCACTGTGAGCAATGGACCCCGCTCCAGCCTTCAGAAGGCTTCACATCAGGCCATAAACCATGAGGATTGAAACACCTCTCCTAAAGAATTACTGTACTAGGCAGGTAGGACTACCCAGATATATTTAAGGACTTTATGAGGTCCTCAAATAAATCTTTGTATTAAGATTTTTTTTTTTTTTCACTTTTTAGCCAGAAATTTCTGGTATCTCACCAGCATAAACATTTCCTCATCTACGTGAACTTCCCAGCCTTTTTATGCATTCTATTTATCTTTTTTTTTTTAAATTTCAAGCCGATGTTTTATTTTGATCTCACTTCTCCACTCACAGGTTTTGCTTTATCCTAGGTTCACTCTCATCTCTCCCCAAATCTCACTCCACTGATCCCACTGTTCTCTCCATCATCCACCCTTTGTCTCAAGTCTAAAGACAGCACTGACACTTCTTGAAAACAATTCCAGCAGCATACAATATGAATCCAGACTTGAAGCAACATGGCTCAAGCAGATGTCACTGAAATAATTAGAAACCAAGATAAAATATTGATGATGATAATAATAATTTTAAAAATGTAATTAATTGGGAGAAAATTATAAAGGTGTTCTCTGTTGAGGAATGATCTTTGCTAAGTTGCAAGCATCTGGAGGTCAAGAAGCACAATGTGACTGTAGCTCATCCCAGCAAGAAGCTGAACAGGGATGGTTGCCAGATTTTCCACCACCAATGAGACAAAGAAAGAGAATGGTGGGACTCCTCTAGGCAGAACCAAGGTCAGGGGCAAAGATGCAGCTACAGAAAACATGCTCATTTTGCTCAGCCAGCCTGACGAGCTGGGGTTTGGGGAGGCAATGAAAGAACAAAATGTAGTATCCAAAAAAATTAAAAAAAAAAAAAAAAAGCATTTCCATGCACCTAAAAAACATCAAAGCTGTATTTTTTTACAAGGGTCCAGGTCTTCCCTATACTACAGTGCCTCTCAAACACTGTCAGATCACCCCATACATAAGGAAGTAGACCCTTTATTTAAACCTCACTGCAAAAATCACTGCAGAGTACGCTGCATCAATGGTCCAAATCGTCACAGTAATATTTTTACAACCTTCAGCTTCATTACCACAAATTCCTGCTTTTGCTTTAACTTCCTGAAAAATGCTCGTTACAAACTGACCACCAGTAAATGAATATACTGAGACTAGAAAAGTGACCACTTACACTGAGAAATAGGCTGCAAGTACTAAGGGTTTCATTTCAGACAGTTCAGATAGAGGCCAATCAATGGAATCAGTCTGCTGTCTTCACTTCTGTCACTGGAAAATGAATATTGAAATAATCCTGAAAAGGCATTGTTCTGTGGGAAAGGATGAGCCAGGGAAATCACGCTGCTGATGGAAACCTTTCCAGGGAGATAAACTCTCCTCTTCCTCCTCTTCATCTTCTGAAACAGAATGCAGGTCCTGGGAAAGCAAAACTACTGAGCCTCCCCTTGGCAGCCTGGTGTGCTCACCT